GGGAGGATGCGCTGGGCTCTGTAGAGAGAAAAATGTTAATTCTTCTCTCAGCCCCCCTCACTGCCCCCCAGCTCAGGGACATGTTTGATCAGGCCTGCATCAAACGACACATTTGCAACAAGACAAAACCAGAGCACAGGGGACTCGAGCCTATTTGAAATGGTCCCACTCACCTCCCCCCTCCCCACCTGAGCTGGTCCCCGCAGCCTGTCCTTCAAACAGACACGTGGAAATGCTTGTTTTAAGCCCTATGAACAGCAAACACCTGGCTATTTTTGTCTGCTGTAGGAGCACAGTTTCTCTGTAAAATAAGCACTGGCGTGTGAACTGCTAGGTCGGGGGTTCAAGTCCACCAGCTGTTCTGTGGGAGAATGATGAGGCATTCTGCTCCTGCAAAGATGTATAGCCTCAGAAATCCTATACCGGGTCACAGTCCTGCTGTGTCGCTGTGGGGATATGCACTGGACTGCAAAGCTGGTTTGAACTGTAAGGTTGGCAGGGTCACTGTGGGTCAGAACTGACTCTACAACACTTTAACTACAACAACAACAACAACAAGAGTCGGGGAACCCACTCGACTGAACTTAACAACATTAGAGGCTCCAAGGGGTGGGACCAGGGTAAATCAGGCAGGGGAAAGTGAATTTGATTTAGGGCTGAGGTACTGGGCAGAAGAGAAACAAAGGGAGGAGAAGGAGGGCCCAGGAAGCAGGTGGGGTAGAGGGTCCAATTTTATTGCCCTCTGAGCGCTCCTGATAGGGACGATGCCTTCCTGTAAGCATAATATTCAGGTTTGCACATTGTCATCCATTCTGTCCATATGTACGACAGTGCTCGGGAGATGTCGGGAAGGGCTTCGTTGCCTTTTCTTTTTCAGCTGGGGAACCAGAGACTCAGAGGCGTGTAAGAAGTCACGGGTGAGGGGTGGGCCTGGATTTAGTAGCAGCAGGAGGTCCAGGGTGGGCCCTGAGATTCTGAATTGTTACAAAGCTCCAAGGTGATCAGAATGGGGCTGGTCCGAGGATCACGCTTGGAGGAGCAACCATGTATTGACTAACACATTTAAGAGACACGAGCTAGGAAATTGATCTGCTGGCCACCCCAGCACGGTGTCATTTATTTATTCTGCCCATATATTGGGTGTTTTGTCATGTCTGAGGTATTGCATTGGGATACAATAGGGGACAAGACAGGCTGGTCACTGGCTAGGTGGAGTTTAGACAAAGAGCAAATACATTGAACTCTTAGAAATTATTGTGGTCAGTTACCACCCGTCTTTCAGTCTGTCGTAGTGTGGAGGCTTTGTGTTACTGTATGCTGGAAGCTATATCGCTTATGTTTCAAACACCAGAAGGATTGCCCGTGGTGGACACAATTCAGCAGAGCCCGCAGACTAAGACAGATTCATAAGAAAGACCTAGTGATCTCCTTTCCAGAAATTAGCCAATGAGAACTCTGCGGGTCACAACAAAACATTGCCCAATACGATGAACAACGGTGGACTCAAGCCTGCAGTGGTCTTGAGGATGGCATGGGGGCAGTGAGTCAGAGCTTACTTGATGGCAGATGACATCAACAACAAACTGTCTTGTCAGTGGTTATACATGCAGTGCCCATAAGTACACGAAGTGTAGGGGAGATGTGTAGTGTGCCCACCTCAGGGTAGCACATACAGAATGTTTAGAATCAGAGTTGGGACAAGATTCCCACTCTTCCTGGGTATCTCTGAGATACACTCATAAAAACCAGAAGAAAATCAACCCAAACCACAGTATGGATGTTGATGCCACACCCATCCATTTCATCCATCTATGTATTTAATTATTCATCTATCTACCTATCCATCCATCCATCCATCCATCCATCCATCCATCCATCCATCCATCCACGTATTTAATTATCCATTCATCTACCTATTCATTCATCTATCCATCTACCCATTCATGTACTTAATTATTCACACATTTATGTATCCATCCACCCACCCATCCACCCACCCATCCATCCACCTACCCATCCACCCATCCATCCATCAAATCCATTCATGCTTTCACTTAAATATTTACTGAGTACCTACTATGTGCCAAGCCCTCCCTAGTGAGCTATGCAGTTCCCTTTGTTTGTTGTGAGAGTTAGATCTTTGGCTTTGTTGAGTTGCAAAGGATAGCATCTACTCCCAAAGATCCCTATATTTACAGGGCTGGGGGATCCCCTGGGTAAATAAAAACACTGGATACTTAGTTAAATTGGCATGTCAAATAGACACTGGATATACTTTAAAAATGCTTAATTATGTCCCTTATACTAAAAAATTCAAAATAAAAATAAATAATTCCTTGCTTATCTGAAATTTGATCTTATCTCTGGTAGCGTAGTGGTTACGAATCGGGCTGCGAACCTTAAGGTCAGCAGTTCGAAACTACCAGCCGCTCTGCGGGAGAAAGATGAGGCTTTCTACTCCCGTAAAGATTTACACCCTCGGAAACCCTGTACAGGGTCGCTATGGGTCGGAACTGACTCGACGGCACTTAACAACAACAACAACAAGGTGTCCTATGTTTTACTTGCCAACCCTAACTGGGCAGCTTTAAATAATACCAACACCTGGGTCCTACATCTGGGAAGAGATGCTGGTTTATCTGGCATTGTTATTTGAGCACCTTTGGGTCATCTTCATCTGCAGCCACTGATTTCATGGTTCAAAACGTTCATCTTTCTCCCTCAGAGCGGCTGGCGGATTTGAACTGTTGTCTTTGCTGTTAGCAGCCCAATACCTAAGTCACAGCTTCCACCAGGGCTCCTTTATTATCATTCTGTTGTTATTGTCAGGTGCCGTTGAGTCGATTCCGACCCATAGTGACTCTGTGTAGGGTTTCCAAGGAGCAGTTGGTGAGCTTGAACCAGTGACCTTGCAGTTCAAACAGCTTTGCAGTCTGGTGCATTAACCCACAACGCCACACCAGGACTCCATATCATTGTGATAGATAGTATTTATTTATTGAGGAGTCCTGGTGTGGCGCTGTAGGATAAATACTGGATTGCTAACTGCAAGGTCGACAGTTCAAACCCACCAGCCCCTCCATAGAAACACTATAAGAGTCCTATGAGTCAGAACCAACTCAGTGGCACTTAACGACAACAATTATAATTTCCATTTCATAGAAAAAGCAGAATCAGCTCAACAATTTTGAACAATTACTCTGCTCCAGAATCGATGCTTTCACAACTTCCTGTTACTTGGTCAATATGCCTCACAGGAACCCTGTAAGATAGGCAATATTATAATTCTCTGGTGTGGTGCTGTAAGATAAACACTGGATTGCTAACCACAAGGTTGGCAGTTCAAACCCACAGGGTTGCTATGAGTTGTAACTGACTCGATGGCACACAACAGCTATACTTCCCATTTCATAGGAGAAGCAGACTCGACTCTATGTCACTGAACAACAACAGTTGTTAGCGTTCAGCTTAACACTTTACACAGCCCTTTGGTAACTAACCCTGCTTCACTGGACAGCCATGTGGGGCTATCTCAAGGTTGGCAGCAGTAGACTTGTCTCTTCCAGTTCCTAGAGGCTGTCTTGGCAGTCTGTGGTCCACAGCATCATTACTTCCATCTCTGCTTCCGTCTTGGCTAGCCATTTCCCCTAACCCTGACCCTTCTGTCTCCATCTTACCAAGACTGTTGAGATGACATCATTCACACTCAGTGAATCGAGAATGATCTTGTCATCAAAAGACCCCTAACAATCATATCTTCCAGTCTCTGATAACAGAATGTGGGGTATGAAGATGTGGGTGGATACCTTCAGGGGCCTCTCATAGAAGGATTCATGCCCGATAATGAGTAGGGATTATGGGGGACAGGTTTGGGGTGGGGCTGGGGGAAGGAATGGTCAAGTCGGTGGAAGGTGGAGAAAAGAAAGGGAAGAAGGGAAGAAAACAGTGACTATGTTAGGACCAGCATGATGGTATGAAGCCATGTATGTCAAATGAGATTCATGTGGGTGATTTTCCACACAAGAGATAAGGTGAGGGTGGCCACCAGGATGTGAAAGGTCAGTGGTGAGGGTAATGGGATTTTACATGATTTTTATTACCGTCTTTTGATTTTTATGTATTGCTTGATTTCAAAAACAAAATTTTTTATTGTTGTTGTTAGGTGATTTTGACGCTAAATGACTCCATGTGACAGGGTGGAAGCAGGTTGTCAGGTGTTTCTCCTGTGGAGCTTCTGGGTGAGTTCAGAACACCAACCTTTGGATTAGCTGTGGAGCACTTAACCATTGTGTCACCAGGGCCCCCTTGTTACAAGATTTTAAAATGCATGTGACAGATAATGTTTTGAAAATGAAATTAGAGAAGATCACAGGAACATTGAGGAAAGGAGGGATGGTACAGGGGGTCATGGGGGCAGGTAGAGAAGGGAAGAGAACAGCCAAACAGAAGCAAAGACTAGAGAAAGGAAGAGAAAGAGACAGAAATAAGCTTACAGATCCAGAGACTAGGAGAGGAGAGATCAGACTGTGTCCAGAGGTCTCAGTGTCTCTCACCCAAGGTTTCCTCCCTTCCCCTCAAGTATTTTGACCTTCCCAGGCTGCATGGTGCTATCTAACCAGATGGCCTGTCCCCTCTTCTGTGGGTCTGCTCCTTTTCTGGGGTGGCGGAGGGGTTGTCTCTGGTCATCTGTCCAAGGCCCATCAAGATCCTATCAGCTCTAAGTACCATCAATGGCACCTACCTGTCTCCTGCCTTCTCCCAGGTTCCCTGTTGGCCCATCAGAACTATAAACGTCCCACTGTCTTCTGTCTGCCTAGCACCCTCTTGCTTGGACCTGGGCAGCCAGGGCACTGTAAGATACTCTCCCTAAGTGATATTTAATCCCTAGCCATGGATGAAGGGGGCACCCAGGGCCTGGGGATGGCAGAACTGTTAAGGGTTCCTGCCTCAGTCCTCCCTGGGGGAGGGACTGCAGTGCTGATGGACGTGCCAGGGTTCCTTCACTCTCCCTTCTGCCTGCACTCCGCTCCATCGTCCCCTGAGTGGATCCATTTGTACTGGGTGATGTATAGGTCCATCAAGGCGGCGCTGGAGTGGATCCTGCCATCACCTCCTCCTCCTGGAAGGATGAGGGGAGGCATAAATTCAGCAAAACAGCTTCAGCAGCTTCTACTCTGGGACGGTCATGGGGAGGAGATCCTGCAGGGAGGGTCATGTTGGCTGCAGGCCTGCGTGCCATCGGAGGCTTGTTTAGGAAGCATAAGCAAAAACGGTGTTCCAGGCACCCTGCCATGTCTCTGGGATATAAGGTTCAACCAGACACGTCCTGTGTCCTCACGGAGTCTACCAGGGGAAACGGGGCATGCGGTACAATCCTTGCCTTTCATGTAGGAGACTCAGGTTCAATTCCAGCCAACACATGTCCAGCCCAGACACCACCTGTCTTTCAGCAGAGTCTTGTGTGTTGTTAGGATGTGTAACATGTTCCAGTGGAGCTTCCAGATTAAGACTGACTAGGAAGTAAGACTTGCCAATCAACTTCCAAAAATCAGTCAGTGAAAACCCTACGGGTCACAATAGTCTAATCTGCAATTGATCAGGCAGCATTTTGTTTTGTTGTGCATAGGGGGGATCTCAGCAGCATCTACAAAAACTACCCTTACCCCAGCTCCTGGCATTATCATACCACCCTGTTTCATAACACTAGCCACATTCTCAAGTATTTATTGACTCGTTTATTGTTTATTAAGGAGCCCTGCTGGCACAGTGGGTCAGAGTTAAACTTGCTAATAGTAAGGTCGGCAGTTCAAGCCCATCAGCATCTCCGAGGGAGAAAGATGAGGCTGCCAGCTCCTGGCAAGATTGGCAGTCTGAGAAACCGTAAGGAGCAGTGCTGCTCTGTGCTATAGGGTCACTGTGAGTTAGGATTGACTCAGTGGCAGTGGGTTTTTTATTGGTTAGCCATCTCTTCACAGCCTGTCTTATCTGTGGGTGTGTCCTGCACACAGACAACAGCACCTGGTACCTGAGTCCTCAGTGACGTTTCCCAGTTTTCCTTATTCTGCAGACAAGGAAACTGAGGCCCAGAGAGGGCACATGATTTGCTCAAAGTCCACAGCAAATTAGATCTGTTGATTCTAAAGTCCTTGTTCCTTCTTTTCGGCTATAACCCCTCATCTATGAAATGGGGACATACGAGAAGTTACAAAATCTACAGAAGTCCCTTCCCACGATGAAACCCTAAACCCAGACAGACTTGTGGAGACCCCATGTGTTATCAGGGGAGCCCTCCTAGTAGTATAGTGGATTAAGAGCTGGGCTGCTAACCACAAGGTCAAGGTCAGCAGTTCAAATCTATCAGTTGCTCCACAGGGCTTTCTGTTCCTATAAAGATTTACAGTCTTGGAAATGCTATACAGGGTCGCTAGGAGTCACCACCACCACCACCACCACCACCACCAATCTTTATGGAGGTGCATTGCCAGGCTTTTCTTACGCAGTGCCACTGGGTAGGTTTGAACAGCCAGGCTTTAGGTTACATGGGAACTCAAATCAGAACAGGGGCTTGGGTTCCTTCCCTCTTCAAGTGGAAGCCTTTAGAACTTGTTGCCAACAGAGGAGACTGTAAACTCCATGATAGCATGGTTTATGACACCCAGGGTCATAAACCAAGCTGTGGGTCAAATCAAGTTTCTTCCAAATCATAAAACCCTAGAAGGTCAGAGCCAGTGGGGATCTGGGAGATTATTTAGTCCAGAGGCTCCCAGACTTGGCTGAGCAGTGGGTCTGGACACCTGGGTACCACCCCTGACCACCTGTGTTGGTTGGGTCCTTTGGGAAAGAGGCTGAGGGAGGGTCAGGAATGCAAAAGGCTTAAGAACAGGATGAGCAGGAGTGGGCGCATCAGGCAAGGATGCAGAGCCAACCAACTTGTGCCAGCCCGGGGCGGAGCTCCAGATCCAGGATGTCAGCCCTAACACCTAGCTCGCTGGCTGGACACTGCCCTGCCGGGCTCAGCCATTGGCCAGGAGAAATGGAGGACTTTGGTAGCTCAGAAGAAATTGGAAGTGGACCTGAGGCAGCCAGCTAACGTCAGCCCTTGCAGTTGCGCAAGAAGCCCTGCGTTTTCTTTCTTTCTTTTAAAATCAGTTTTTTTATTAAGGTAAACTTCACATCATAAAAAAAAAATCAGCCATTTTGAAGTGAACAATTCAGTGGCATTTAGTCCATTCACAGTACTGTATACAATTCTAAAGCACCCTCCCACCACCACCAATAAAAGGGAACTCCACTCCCAGTAGAAATCAAGGTACAGGAGTTTAAGCAAGTTCCCGGAGGCAGAATGGGCAGGAGTTGGCTGAGCTGGTTCAGAACTTCTTTTTCGTGGTCATCCACTGCTGGCAGAGAGGGCAGGAGTGACCATCCTCACTGGTCAGGCTGTCTAGATGAGACATTAGAGGAACCGGAACGGGACCTGTTTAATGAGCAGTTGGCCGGCTGCTGCAAGAAGGATGGTTGCAGGGGCTGAAGGGAAGAGGACCCTCTAAGGCATGATAGACACATGTGCCTCAACCCACAGGCATTGCAGTGAGCACTTTGTGGGTCCTCTCAGCAGCCCTTGCCCCGCCTTCAGAGAGGAGGTGTCTGGGAGCTACTACCATGCATTCACTCATTCATTAGTACAGTCCCAGTAGCAGTTGCTGTTGAGTGGATTCTGACTCACAGTGATCCCATGTGTGTCAGAACAGAACTCTGCTCCACAGGCTTTGCAAGGACTGGGGTTTTTTTTTTTTAAAGTAGATCACCAGGCCTTTCTTCTCAGGTGCCTCTGGGTGGACTCAAACCTCCAACCTTTTTATTTAGCAGCCGAGCATGTTAACCGTTTACACCGCTCAGGGACTCCTTCGCAAATACAAAGTGCACTCACTGAGCAGAGACTCCCTACCGCAGGCACAGCCTTTCATCCTGGGAAGACCATAGGGAGCAAGATGGGAAAGGGATTCCCTACTGTGGTGGAGCTGATGTGCAGTTGGGGGCTGCAGTTGGCAAATACGTAAATACCTCTACACATAGTATAGGTTGTCCTCAACTTAGGTTTCAACGATTCTGTCCTAAGTTGGTTCTGACCTAAGTCGAATGCATCCTTATATTTTAGCTTTCATTATGAATGCTTTTTATTATCAGCATCCTTATAAATCTGATCTTTATTTACCTTTGGGCACGAAAATGACAGCAAATTACATGCTGCAACACTGTATGTAGTACATATCACTAACAATAAGATGCAAACGGAACAGTGCGGTTCGTCGTTAACTCGATGACGTTGTCCTAAGTCGAAAGCCTGTGTCAGGAGAAGGAAAATGCAAAGATTTCCCACTAAAACATACAGCGGCGTGGTGAGACTGCACCCTGTCAAAGGCAGAAACCTTGCAAAACCAGGAAAAATAAGGCAGTCCAGTCAAGTTCCAGCTCTCACAGGGTGAAGTACCAAGGAGGAAAAGTCACACAGAATAAGGAACAAGACAACAAGAGACCAAGCGGCCACACAAAGTCTCTTGAGGAAGGACCCAGAAAGGATGGCAACGTATGGAGTCTGCTGTAGACTCCCTATGGGAACACAGTTGGCTGACCCTTCTGAGGACCAGAACGGGGGAAGGGTAAACGTGTGTTGTTTGACGGCACTCGGTTTTTGGTCATCTATCACAACAGCAAGAGACTTAGCATATTGGGTCTCTGTGCCCACTGTACCTCCCAGCCTCTGATTAAAGGCAAGCTGCGTATCCCCTTTCCTGTGACAGATCATCAGGCCAGTTGACAAGTGGAAGGGATCCAAGTAATAATAGTTGTTATAAAGTGCCACGGAGTCGTTCTGACTAGAGCGACCCTGTATAGGGTTTTGAGGCTTTAAACCTTCTAGGGAGCAGAAAGCCTTATTGTTCTCTCTCAAAAGAAATAATAGCAAGAGGTGAGGACATGAAGATCTAGAGGAGATAAGGACTCCAGACTCACGGAAAGAGAAAGGCTGCGTGCCGGTGGCCAGGAGGCCGACTTGCAGAATGTGCCCTTTGGTTGCTTGTTTAATTCATTGTATATTCCTGAGTGGTGTTGTGTACATTAAAAAACAAAAACAAAGAAACAGAGGGAATCGAAGCAAATACTGTTGAATGATGATGCAAGGAGGGGATTGTAATCATTGCAGGGAAATGAAATATGATAGGATGAGTGTCAAACCGATGCTCTCCCATGTCACTCATCTCACAATAAAAACAAAACAAAAATGTTAACAATAGCAGTCCTAACAATGCATCCCGCTAGAGTCCAGTCGATTCTGACTCCTAGTCCCCCTACTGGACAGAGTAGGGCTGCCCCGTAGGGTCTCCGAGGCCAGAAGTCTTTTCAGAAGCAGACTGCCACAGCTTTGTCCTGCAGAGTGGACACTGGGCTCAAAACGTCCACTTCTAGTTAGCAGCCAAATTCTCAAGCCCAGCACCACCAGACCCTTTCAATCCTAGCCATACTATCCAGTCTGTCTTGAATCCTTGCTGTGTACCAAAGGCTTCGTGTGTATCATTTTGTTTCATCTTCACAAAAGGCGGAGGAGGAACTGGTATTATCATTACCCTCCCCATTTCACAGATGGGAAAGCTGAGGCTCCAGGAGGTTATAAGTGAGCCCAAGGACATACCATTAGGAAGTGGCAAAGCCGCACTGCAAATTCAGGTCTGTCTGAACCCTAACAATCAACACTCAAACCTTCCCTGGGTTCAACTTGTGCAAAAAAACCCCAAAAACAGACCCCCATTTTGCTTCTTCCCTGGGGTAAGGAGACTGTCATTACCCCCTTGTTACCATCAGCTTCCGCCTCCTTTTCTTTTTCCCCAAGCCTCAACAAAAGGTGCTCTCTTGCTTCTCACGCCATTTCAGATGGCACAGACAGGTTGGCATTCCTGAAAGGAACTGTATTTCCTTTTGACTGTCCATCAACTTCGCGGCAAAGAAAATAGAAATTGTAAAACCACAGACAAGTTCTCTGACTGCAGATTTCTGATCCTGGGCATTCTTTGCAGCCAGGATGATGGGCTGGTGCTCACTGCTGACTGGCACCACGCCTGGCTTCCC